TCTCCCAGCAGCAGATGTGGAGGGAGCAGTAGATGTGGAGGGACCAGATTGTCTTGGGGCAGAGAATGCACCTCTCCCTCTCCCAGCAGCTGCAGCTGCAGCACCTCTCCCAGCACCTCTTCTAGCAGCTGGAGCTGCTGCAGCACCTCTCCCAGCACCTATCCCAGCACCACTCCCAGCACCTCTCCCAGCACCTGCACCTGCAGCACCTCTCCCAGGAGCTGCATGAGAGGTTGTTGCTGCTGGTGTAGTAGCAGCAACACCACCATTGGAGTTCCTTGCAAGAGGCTTGCATAAACAAGAAGGAAAATGAGTTAGTACTTAAAAAATGGAATGTACAAGAAGGAAAACCACTTATAAGAGGATTACCACATGTTTGTTCTTCCTCAAAGCCAGCTCAGGCTTCAACTGCTTGAGGCAGCTTGTGTACCTATGTCCTTGCAGTCCACAATTGCCACATGTTATAGTCCCCATTCTTGATGTGTCCTTAGGCTTTGGAACTTCAAATTTCCCCTTGATCCTCTTCTCTTTCTTTCTTCCTCTCTTCACTTTAAATGCAGGTGGGTCAATGTCTGGACCAGGGGTCTTTGTCCAGTCATGCTCACCAGGAACTGGATAGATCATTGGTTCATAAGCTGCCACATAAAATTCTTTCTTGAAGAACTTGCTGACATAATCCTCTGGTTTTCTTTTGCCCTTGTTGATTGCTGAGATGGCATGGTTACATGGGATGCCACTGAGCTCCCATTTTCTGCACCCACATGTGTGCACTTGCAAGTTAACAACATGGGTTTGCTGCCCACTTGTAACCTGCCACAAGTTCACACCAGCTTGAATTGGTTTGCAATATTTGGCCTCTCCTTCTCAACCTCTAGCTTCTCACTATAATGGGGTGTTATGTCCCATCTAGCTGTCTTTGCACTCTCCCTATTCCTATGCCACCTCATCATCTGTTTATCCTTTATTCCATCACACATTGTCCTAATTGGTTTTCCTAACATCTAGGACATACTTGTTGAACACCTCAGACAAATTGTTAACTACAAGGTCAGTCTTGCAGTTTGTGTCAAATGCATGCCTTGCCCATGTTTTCCTGGGTAATTGACAAAGCCACTCCCAAGCTTCCTGACATTCAGCTCTAAGGTCATTCATTGCAATGATAAATTTGTGTTCGCTATATGCATAGGCAGCATTATCCATACACTTCTTCAGATCTTCCCCCCTAAACCCAGCATTTTGGAAGTTTGCATAGATATGCCTAAGGCAGAACCTTTGGTTGCACTTAGGAAAGACAGCATTCACTGCATATAGTAGGCCCTGGGACATGCAATTAAACTAGCTAAGCTAATATCTAGCACAAAACAACCATATAGGACCAAGGACATAAGATGCAAGCACATACCTTTTGCCTATCTGACATTATTGTATATGGACCAAACCATCCCTCTTCTCCTCCTAGGCAAATTTTAAGTTGGTGTAGAAACCAACACCAATTAGCTTTGTCCTCTTGCCCAACAATACCAAATGCTAGTGGGTATATATTGTTGTTGCCATCTCTACCAGTGGCAACAAGTAGTTGAGCACCAGTAGTTAACTTAATGAAGCACCCATCAACACTTGAATGAGCAAGCAAATTCAATATTTAGAACATTCAAATGCATTTCAAGATGAAACAATATGTAACTAATGCACAAGGTGAACAAATTAACCAATGAATGGTCTGCACCCCTTGAGAAACCCCTCCCTTGCTCCATTGATGCAATAGAACATAGCATGGAATCTTGGACCTGGATGGGGGATTTTTTCAGTGGGTGTTGGAGTTACAGTAGTGACTACTACTCTACTCCCAGGGTTTGTATCCATCACTGTCTGAGCATAGTCTTTCAACCTAGGGTATTGCTTCTTGTGGTCTCCTAGCACAACATCAATAGCTATGTTCTTTGCTCTATATGCCATTGACTTGGGCACATCCACACCATACTTCTCCATGCAAGCATCAATCAAAGTCTGAATGGCAGTTGTTAGATCAGATCTGAACAGTGACTCATACTTCTGTGCAAGCCACTTGGCACTTACCCTTGTTATCTCTGTACTAATAGGGCAAGTGTGCTTCATTCTCATCTTCTTAATTACAAAAGTAGTTTCACCTTTTATAACTGCTGCCACCATAAAGAAGTTGCAATGTTTTTGGTTGCATTCTACAATTATTCTTTGATCTGAGTTCCTATGATATATAAAGTTTCTGCCTTGAGTGATGTGTAAGTTCAGCAAAGCCTCTCTGAATTGATGTTGATCCAAGAAACACATGTGTAGACATAATTGCTCATGTGGTGCCTCCATTTTCTCATTGTACCATTTTCTAGGAGGCCTCTGCTTTGCCCTGCTCTTCCTTTTCTTTGGCAGCACAAATGACAATGGCTCAAAACCATCATCATCAGCCTCCTTCAACAATCCTTTCTCTTCTTCATCAGATGAAGGTCTGAAATCAGGTTCCTCCTCTGGTACTACACTTGAATGTGACCTTGTTATAGGCCCTCTCCTAACTGGAAGCTTCTGTTTCTTCTTCTTCTTCTCTTCATGTACAATTACAGTTTCTTCATCCTGTGAAACAACTTTGTCATCTTCATCCATTTGAAAAGGTTCCTCAACCTCTGTGTCACCCTCATAATGCACCACTTCTTCCTCCTCAGATTCTTCATCATCTGTTTCTTCCTCTTCCATTTCATCATACTCTTTCTGTTTCTTTCCCTCAGCCATCTCTATGTCATCAGCATCACCCATATAAAAAGGTGGTACATCAATGTCCTCTTCACCTTCACAATCAGAACCACCACTGCCATCATATCCCTCTTCTTCTTCTATTTCCAAAACAGCTTTCAGTTTTCCTTTTACATTCTTGCTCTCTTGTGTGCAAACACCAGTACCATGAGCTAAACTGCTGCTGCTACTCTGACTTTCAAATGCAACCCCTTCTTCATTAACAGCATAGATGAGTGGCTCACTGAGATCATATAACACAGGCTCTTCATACACAACAGTGGATAATTCTTGCCTCTCAAACTGCCTGCAAGGAGGTGGACATGCCCTCACTAGCAAATTTAAGACCTTAGACTCCTCAACCTGCTTCTTTACTAATTGCAACTCAGCATTACACTCTACCATCTCCAATCCTTTCTCCCCTAATTGTCGATTCTCAATGTGAAACAGCAGATCATATTCACTAAATCCTTGGGTTTCCATCACTGCAATCATATTCAGGTATGTTACATCTGAACTGCAGAGCTTCAGCTCAAACATTTCTGAAGCATCAAAATAGAACCTAACATCCAAAATGTCATCATACAAACTGCAAAATGAAATAACAGACAAAAATGTTTAAGTTAACATATAAACATAACTTTGTTTAAGTTAACATATAAAATAAACAATTACTAAAAAATCAAACAAAGTAACAATTATTACAGAGTGGGTACTTAACTGACAGCAAACTGATGGTTTGTATTTTCAGATAAGTAGTTAACAGAATTGTCCACTAATGGTGCTCTGCTCTAGTTAGGAATTATTTAATCCACTATTGGTTTAAACATAGCTTTGTTTCAGTTAACATATAATCATTTAACTGACAGCAAACTGATGGTTTGTATTTTCAGATAACTAGTTAACATATAAACTTAACTGACAGCAAAGCTTCTCTGCTCTGCTCTGCTCTAATGATCCACTAATGCTGCTATGACAATTTGGACTAATGCTGCTCTGCTATGCTCTAGTTAGGACTCATGTAATCCACTATACTTCTCTGCTCTACTTAAGACTAGCAATTAGAGTGCTAAACATGCAGACAGTAAACCAGCCAGTAAACCATAACCCTAATCCCCAATTTCAATTTGCAAAGATGGCACAGTGGAACACTTACAGAACACCACCGAAGCCATGAGTCCAATGATGGGCGGTGCTAGGGTTGGCCACCCAAATTCGCGCCATCTTCAGCCTTTGCTCCATCGACAACGCCGGCTCCGCAAAATCTTCGTCCTCGCTACTGTACTCCGAGCTGGAGTAGCCGCCACTGCCATCGAGGCCTAAGCGGGGGAGGTCGCCGCCGCTCGCATCGCCCCGGCCATCGTCGCCTGCCGGAGTAGCCGAGGCCATCGCCGCCTAGGGCACAACAGCCGCGGGGGAGAGGAGGCCGCGAGGGAGCAGCAGCCGCGGGGGAGAGGAGGGCGCGAGGGAGCAGCAGCCGCGGGGGAGGTGACAGCGCCTAAGCAGTTCGATCCATGGCGTGGTGTGGCGGGCGGCGGGGCGGGGAGGCAGTCGCCGGCGAGGGTGCGAGCAGAATGAAGCAGAGCGGGGTCGGGGTGGTCGGGGTCTGGCTCGACCGCACCAGGCGCGCCCTAAACGGTGCGAGCCGGCCTCGTCCCAGTCAGCGCCCAGTCAGCGGGCGGGCACGCGCGCCTGGCTAGCGTGTCGCCTGATGGGCGGGCCCAACCGGTCAGCTTTTCTGTCAATACGTATAAAACGCACTTTTAGTCTTTTTTGCAACGGCTCGCCCCAATCTTGATACTGACACGTAAAAATTACCAATCTTGGTATCAATCTGCTTTCAATGCCCCAATTGTTATACTTCTGTGCAATTTACTCCAGCGAGCATGACGGCGAGGTGCGGGAAGGCACGAGGTGGGTGCGGCGAGCGACAAAGGAGAAGTATGAGAGGAAGACTCGTAGTGGGATGAAGCAGTGGAAAGAGGACAAGGTAAGGTAGGGATCAAACAGCTACGGTTGGACCAATCGTGATCATGGGTGTGCGACCGGCGCCTAGCATCACCCATTTAAAGTTAAACTAGAAGTGGGATAGCAGTGAAGCTAGAAAATTTAAAACATACTTGATGGATTGAAAATATTTTTTTATTTGAACATTTCTTGGCATTACATGGAACATAGCCAAATCCTTATTCTGGAGACAATACTAGCTAGTGACATGCATGTTTCGTCGATTCGGTCGCGCTTCAGTCTCCTCCTCTCATCACAGGGCAGCCTGAAGCCGATGCTGCAGTAGCAGCAGCAGCAGAAGCAGGCGCAGACAAGAAGCTTGCGAGGAAGTTGCCACGCTCGTAGAAGAACTCCGCCTTCTCCACCTTGGTGTCCTCATCAACCTATCATATCATCACAGCGTTGCAGACCACTTAAACATTCGAAGAGCAACGAACGATCGACATACCACCATGAATTAATTACTGCCAATCAAATGAACTCACGTGGAAGACACAGACGCCGAAGAACTCGACGCGGCGGCCGTGCGGAGGGTGGCCCTTGAACGGGCCCTCCATGTAGCCCCAGTGCCGGAACTTGAAGGCGATCCTGGGCGGGCCGCTGTACACGTCCAGCACCTCGATGGCGAAGCCCCGGGGGAACGCCGTGAGGAACGTGGACGTGGCCGACTCCACCGTCTCGGCGTCCGGGTCGTAGATGCGGTGCTCCGGCGGCAGCGTGGTCGCCAGGAACGCGTTGTAGCCGCCCATGGCCGTCACCTCCTCCCGCGTCAGCGGCTTCAGCCCTGCAAGCAACAAGAAAAGTTTTGTTTCGTTTCAGTTATTTTTTTGGGCCGGTCGATCGATTGTACTATGTGTTGAGGTGTTGATTTTTGTACCGTTGGTGATGGCGGAGTAGTTCTTGGGGTTGACGCTCTTCTGGTCCTCGGGCCGCACCTTGTGGACCAACTCCATCTCCCAGGTCTTGAGCAGCCGCTGCACCTTCTCTTCCAGAGACCCCTCGGCCCATTCCTGTCGCACCCAAGCCATGCATGTGAACAAATTTAACTTCCAACATGAAGAACTTTACTCTGCTACCACGTCTGTTCACTAATGTAAGACGTTTTGGCAGTTCAAGCTAATAATCTGTACACACCACTGAAGGAAGCATTCGACCGTGGACAGGTTTAATTAGTACTCCCTCCGTCCGAAAATACTTGTCATCAAAATGAATAAAAGAAAATGTATCTAGAGCGGTAATTGCCTTTGGCTCCTAGGTGCATATGCACCTATTGTCGAAATATACATTTCGAAAAGTTGAAAAATTCGAAACAAAAACCCCGCGTGTATATCCGGACATTTTATGTGCGTGCATCTCATGTATCTAGACGTATTTTAGTTTTATATACATCTCTTTTTATCCATTTTGATGACAAGTATTTTCGGACGGAGGGAGTACGTACCTTGGTCCGCTCTTCCTCGAAGAGCTTGTTCACCAGGTCGTAGTTGGGAGGGGCTCCATGCCTCCACACCGTGTTCTTCTCGCCGTCGCCGTGCAGGAACGACCGGTATTTGTCTCCTCCTTCAGCAGAGTCCATGGCTAACAACAGCCTTCCACTAGACTCGATTCAACCAAGAGTGGTGTGGTTGATTCCCTACTTGTAGGAAAAATCAGATGTAGAATAGAACAAGATCAACCACATCATCGCACACGTCACTGCATGGAAAAAAAGACTAGTAGTATATGGTACCCACAAACCCAATCCACGACCCGTCTCTGCAGCGGTGAGGTCCGTCCACTCATGCTATGCCACCCGTCACTCTTGCAGAAAAGTTTTGCTTTTGTCAAGCTATAGTCTCAGTGAAGTTAAAAGTGTTGTATTCAAAAAATGCGCAGATGCGCAATCGTACAAGCAGGCGTTTTGTTTCTGCCGCTAGTCGCTAGTAGAGTTTGGAATCCGACTATGGCCTGTTCGGATCTTTGCAGATTGCCACCATGCATGTGGTCACTGCCAGAGCCTAGTCACCGCCTGTGGCGCTAACGTGAGGCCACGTGAACGGGCAACATCTTGAGCTGATATATTTCTCCTTCCAGATAAAGATATGATCTCATCTGAATATACAACAGTTCTGTTGGAAAACAATACATAAAGGCCACTGTAACTTTTTATAGCAAAATAAACCATTTGCTTGAGTTTTTAATTCATAACCATCAAAAAAATATGCCACTCCCTTCGATCATATTAGCTATCGCTGAAACGGATGTATCTGGATACATGAATTTTGTATGTGTATTTGTTTGCAAGGTTTGTAGATTTTTTTTGTAACTTTAGAAAAGATTATTGGAAAATATTTGAATCTAACTGTGAGTCCACATTGTTAAAATGTGATGCGATCAACACGGGACGGAAGTCCAAGTTGTGGCATTTCTACCATTTTTTAAACTTATTCATGTGTGGAGCTAATAAAAACTTCTAATGGTTCATTTGAACTGAAATAATAGATCGTACACTGATATACATGTCGTCAACTTTCTAAGCACACTCGGTGGTATGTTTCTCATCACACGCCTAGTAACAATGGATCAATTTTGTTAATAAAACAAAACAATAGAGCATCAGAGAATGTATTTATCTAATAAAGAAAATGCCATGAATAAAGAAAATGCCATGGATCACACTGGAAAGCATAGTCGTCTATTCTTTTCAAACTTTATGTGAAGTAGGAGCACATGCAATGCTACAAGAGACTGAGATATCTTGTTTTTGGTGATTGCTATATGTACCAACAATTTTACCTCTCCACAAATAAAATCAGACCATTCCCATATTATCAAATAAATTTGAGACATTTAAATTTAAGCATGGCAGGAACAAACAAAGTATTATAAAATTGACGGTTTACATTGACCATCTTATATATCTTAGTACTATCAACACATTTAAGTTGATCTGTCGGTGTTCTGTTCCAGCGATGCTATAAGGATTAGGGATTGATTAGTGAGATTAGTGGTTTGTCAGGGCGCTCAACACGGTTTATGCTCAACATTGAAAGGCTTTCGACCATTAGATCGCGTGGATAGATAGCTAAGATTTTTTATGTTTGCCCTTGTGGTGGTTTTATAGAGGTAGAAGATAGATAATAGATTGACTTATTTGTTTTATCCTCAGCAGAGTTTAGGCTAATGGGCCGTGGTGCTCGGAACGTCACTAACTGATCCCCAATAACCCGTTAAAAAGGAATAAATTTGGTGTTCCTCCTCTAACTGACACGTAACTGAACTCCTAAAACATTCAATGGAGGATATATTTTACTCTGCGGCGATCACGACCCTTAAATATACTCGGCCGCCCACCTGCAGAGTAAAAATCTCCACAGCCCCACCTCTCCTCATCTTCCATTCTAATGTTGCCCAAGCCCCGTGGCGCTCCACCACCCGCATCGTCCATCCACTTTGGCATAGTCACCGTTGCCGATAATGGCAAGATCCAGCCATTGCCGCTCCCTGTCGCCCATCCTAGAACAGATACACACCGCCATGCGCAGTCCCGAGGTCGTGGCCGAGATGGCGCTTCCTCCTCCCCGACGTCCCACCACCCCCGCCATAGATGCAGAGGAAATACCTCGGTGTGCGACAGCGCCGGTGGGGCACGTGGGTCGTGGAAATCACCGACAGTGACACCCACGAGCGCATGTGGATTGGATCTTTCCCCTTGTCGGTGCAGGCAACGCGGGAATACGACATAATGCCGGTCTACCACCATGGTGCCAACGCCCTATGTATCTTCCCCGATGGCCTACCACAGTTGGTGCTCATCGACCCTCGGGTGGCCACTGCACAGGAGATGTAGGAAGACCAGGGGGCAAGCGCCGCGAGGCGGAGCAAGCCAGTGAGGCATACATGGCGGAGCTCTGCCGTTTGTACCCGGATTGCTGGTTGTACGAGCTCCCGCTGGCCGTTTGGGTTTACCCAAAATTTGGGTACAATATATTTTAGGTTTTCAAAATCAATACCTGAAATTTGGCCAGAAAATTTACTACCAGACAATTTGGGTACCCAGAATTTCGGGTTCGAGTAATCCTAAAATACCCGATTTATAGAAATACTGAAGAACATTGACATCAAAGGTTAACTTTGCACAACAGTTCTTCAACATTTAGGCAACATAACAACAAAACAACATGATAGGAAAACAACCACAAAATAACAGCAATGCAACAACATAATAGACATTTCAGTAGCATTTCAACAACATTTTAGCAATAGTCCATGCTTCTAGCACGATAACATAATGTATTTAAAAAATGTTAAATATATATAGAAGAAACATTTGTCATGTAAAATGTGTACAAGATGAAAAGTAATGTGTACGAATTTTTTTTGTTCATGTATTTAAAAATCTGTTAATCATGTATAAAAATGTTGGTAATGTATTTAAAAAATATTGAACATGTATAAAAAATTATTCATTTGTGGAACATTTTATAATTGCCAATAAAACATTTTTCACACACCATGTACATTTTTGTATACATTAGGAAGTTTTTTATATACATGTTTAACATTTTTAATACAAAATTATTTTTTAAACAAGTATATGTTTATGTGTCTACTTTTACTTAATACACACTCAATATTTTTTGTATAAACATTTTTGTATGCATGTTTAACATTTCAAAAATACATGATCAACATTTTTTTATATAAACAAAAGAAAACCAATGAAAAACGTAAAGAAACAAAGGAAATTGAAAAGAAAAAAGAAAATGACAAAAACAAAGCAAGCCACTACAAAAAGAATGAAAAATAGAGCGCCTCGAGGTGGAGCAAGCCAGTGAGGCGTACATGGCAGAGCTCTGCCGTTTGTACCCGGATTGCTGGCTATACAAGCTCCCGCTGGCCGATTGGGTTTACCCGAAATTTGGGTACAAAATATTTTAGGTTTTCGAAATCAATACCTGAAATTTGGCTAGAAAATTTACTACCTGACAATTCGGGTACCCAGAATTTCGGGTTCGGGTTCGAGTAATCCTGAAATACCCGATTTATAGAAATACTGAAGAACATTGACATCAAAGGTCAAGTTTGCACAACATTTAGGCAACATAACAACAAAACAACAAATGATAGGAAAACAACCACAAAATAACAGCAATGCAACAACATAATAGACATTTCAGTAGCGTTTGAACAACATTTTAGCAATACTCCACGCTTCTAGCACGATAACATAATGTATTTAAAAAATAAAATACTAATGCATTTAAAAAATGTTAAATATGTATAGAAGAAATATTTGTCATGTTTATGAAAAATGTGTACAAGATGAAAAGTAATGTGTAAGGAATTTTTTTGCTCATGTATTTAAAAATCTGTTAATCATGTATAAAAATGTTGGTAATGTATTTTCAAAAATATTGAACATGTATAAAAAAATCATTAATTTGTGGAACATTTTATAAATGCCAGTAAAACATTTTTCACACACCATGTACATTTTTGTATACATTAGGAAGTTTTTTATATACATGTTTAACATTTTTAATACAAAATTATTTTTTAAACAAGCATATGTTTATGTGTCTACTTTTACTTAATACACGCTCTATATTTTTTGTATACATGATCAACATTTTTGTATGCATGTTTAACATTTTAAAAATACATGATCAACATTTTTTTCATATAAACAAAAGAAAACCAATGAAAAACGTAAAGAAACAAAGGAAATTGAAAAGAACAAAGAAAATGACAAAAACAAAGCAAGCCACTACAAAAAGAATGAAAAATAGTGAAAACCGAGAATAAAACAAAGAAATGAAGAAAACCAATGAAGAACAAGAAAGATATGAAAAGAAAGAATAAAAGAAAAAAACAATTAAAACAAAAAAAGACAAAAAACAATCAAAGAAAACAAACAAAAAGAAGAAGAAAAAACACTGAAAAGCAATAAAGAACGAAGACAACTAGTGAAAAAGAAAGAAAACAGAAAACCGTAAAAAAGCCGAGAAGAAACAAAGAAAACACAAAAGGAAAAGGAAAGTAGAAAAAACCAAAAAAAAAACTTAACGGAAACCAAACCAACCAGTACAACGATCCACAAACCTTGAGTGAGCGAACGTGAAAGCGAGAAGAACAAATGTGTCAAGCAAGTTAGAACGTAGAGGCGAAGTCCTCGCGGCGAGCCTACCTTCCGTCTCGTTAGGGCATCTCCAATGCTGGACACCTAGACGGACGCCAGGATGGATCAGTTAGCCCATCAAATCCCAGCTTCAAGTGTGGCATCGGTGCAAAGGTTTGCACCGGACGCTAGGCCTCTTTTCTTCGCTCCACAAGGCGTCCATGGTTGTAATTAGCGTTGGAAGTTAGCGCTTAGCATTGGGAGGGTAGGGCGCTTAGGTCTTTTTTGTTTTCTGATATTTATTTTTTTCGTTTCTAAGCGCCTCTTGAAGCGTCCAGCATTGAACATGCTCTTATAAGCGAGAAATAGCATTAGTGGACGGGGACATGACCTTTTGTGGTGACTGATTTTGGGTTGGGCCTTATCTGTGTTTACGCCATGGGGCAATTTTTACTAGGCTGCCAAATTATTTCAGGCTATTTGGGTACTGTGGCTGCTTACCCGAATTTCTAAAAAAAAAAACCAGGTTTGTAAAATTGTTACCCGATCTAGTGCTCGGGCTTTTTCGAGTTCGGGCTATGGGTTTGGGTTCAGGTTTTCTGGGTGCAGGCTTAGGGTATCGGGTTTTCGGGATTCGGGCTTTAGGTATCCGGTTTTATGCCCATCGTGAGCACGAGCAGTACAAGGCCGGGGCGACGTACGTTATCAACCTTTGCTCCAGTAACTCCGACAATGACGACTATGGCAACGGAGCGGGCTAGGGCGGTGCCCGCGGCGAGGTCCTTATCCGTGGTGACGGAGAAGACACGCTGCTTTCTGAATCGGACTGGGAGACATTGGAGACGAGGGCGATGGCGAGTAGTTTTATTTAGTTTGTACACAATCTTGTTTATTTGTTTTCTAAATTATGTAAAATATTTCGAGTCTAATTTGATGTAGTAGTTTGAATCAAATTTGCACCGAATTGTGTTGAATTTTTTTTAAAGAGTTAAGTATTGAAGATCGGTTCGAGACACCACTTTTTTAGAGGAGCATACTCCTCTAAAGGATACTCGATCTTTTCGTAAAAAAGAAAAGGATACTCGGTCGTACCCCCCTCTAAATTATTGGAGATCAGTTAGAGATGCTCAAAGTCCAGTCCAATTATACAGACAGTGAAAAACGAAGACAGAGGATGACCGTCCAAAAGTCCGTCGCCGGTCAAATCAAGCTGCTGCAATTTCTATTGAGAGTTAAATGTAGTCATGGTAGATTTATGGTTAGAGTTCCACTAGATCCATACAAAGTAGACATCTTGAAGGTCATCTGGTCAAGGTTCAAGCCTGCTTTAGTTGACTCCAAGCTACGAAAAATGGCGGTTTCAGCGTAGCCACCAGCTACTGTACAAGGCAGTACTCTTCAGGACATAGGCTATATATAAGGATTCCTGATCAGAATTCAGAACCACCTCAGGAGTGTGTGCAGAGTACAGACATGGCCACCTTCAGACTCCACATCTCCTGCGCTCTCCTCCTCGCTGGTAGGCAAACACATCCAACTCTTGTTTTAATGGCAGTTTTTCAAAGCTTTGAAACGAATTTGCTTTTTGCAATAGTATTCTTATATGTGGTCTGTGTATTCATGTATTCAGGTGTTGTGCTTCTGGGGACAAATCAAGGGGGCATGGAAGCCATGGCTTGCCCTCAGTACTGCCTGGAGGTCGACTACATAACCTGCCCGTCCTCCGGCTCACAGAAGCTCCCGGCGAGGTGCAACTGCTGCATGGCTCCCAAAGGCTGCACGCTCCATCTCCCCGATGGGATCAACCAAACTTGCTCTTAACCCAGTTCAGAGTTCAGACAGTGATGTAACTCCACGTATGGTGTGGTGCTTGTCAAGGCAGTAATAATGTGAACAAGCTCTAAGTTTTGCGGATAAAGCATGTCATGTAACATTATATGATGTTTCCTTCCGCAGATTTAAAGAGCCCCAAAAGTTGTTTTGGTACCTAAGGTTATCTTGATGAGATAAGCAAAAGATGGTACCAACGGTAAGGACAATAAAGAACAATTTATGTGTCAATTATTAATGGACAGAAGAGCTGCTGTGGTGTAGTGGTTATCACGTCAGTCTTACACACTGAAGGTCTCCAGTTCGATCCTGGGCAGCAGCAAATCCTTTTTTTTTTTGACCCTGGTCCTCTGGATTTATTTTTTGCATGTCAATGATAATATAGCAGGACAAAATGATAACAGTTTTTTTATCTCCATTAACGAACTAACTTTACAGTAAATAATTTGTGTCTTTTCATCTGTTACAACCTACAGCAAAAACCATCACGTTCTTCATGAAGAAAATAAAGCCCCACGGCACTACGGCAAAAACCATCATGTTCCTCAGGGGAGCATGACAAAGATCCGAAGATGTGTTTTCGCAAAATAAATAAATCAGAACATGCGAGCCTTAGGCTTCCCCGGTCCCAGTAGGTTCAATGTGTTCCTCCGTCTCTTCCGCGCCATTTTGACCGGGGAATCTCAGGCATTCTCCTCTCCGTCCATTGCGCCGGTACCTGCTTGATCAGTACTGAGGGTCTGGGGTTCAATCCTGGGCAGCAGTATTATTTTCTTTTACCATGTTTTCCTTTTTACTTGGCACTACAATAAGATGGCCATTGTTCTGCATGTCAATGCTACATAGGAGGGGCAGATGATTAAACATTTTTCTCTTTGTTAACAGACTGATTTTACTGTGAACCATGTCACACGGACACTGGGAATTACAAATTGCAGATACATACTAAATTAGTAAATTTTACTTGATGAACAACACCTAGGCATTCACTCCACTAACTCTAGCATGTGAGTGCACGACAGAGTAATAAAACTGGACTGAAGCACTACGGAAAAGAAAATGCCTCTTTAGATCATTTTTTCTTTTCCTTTTTGACTCCACCAGCACTAGCATGACACACAGATAATAACACTTGACCGAAGCACTGCGAAGAAATTGTCCTTTTTTTTCGAACCGGGCATAACCCCTTTCCATTACTGCGACATAACGGAAATACAACCAGGCCCACAGAATGAGGCGGGAGAGGGGAGAGCGAGTTCAAGCACCGCCGGGAAACCTACCGTGAGCACTCGCCATCAAGATAACTCACCGTAGGACGAAAACCCGGCGACACCAAATAAGTATGTAATTCGGACGGGGCTACTCCCCAGACTGCTCACAAACGAGCACCAAAAGATAGTCCCACGCAGGGGAAGACTCCAAGAATGAACATAAACTCAAAAGACAATGATTCCACCTGAAGAAAGACACCCCTGAAAACGCATCTTTACTCCTCGTTCATTTCTCCAGCGAGTTTCTCAGTCTTTGGTCGCAGCACAGATGCGCATCATCCTCGATGCATTGTTCTTCAGCATGTCTACTCCTGCTCGCAGATCCACCGCATCCTCCTGCTTCAACAAACCTGCCCAATAACAGAGAAAAGCGCACATAGAGAAACAACATTCAAAAGGCGCTTTCAACTGCTTAGATTCGAACGTAGCACTATTGCGACAGGTCCAAATAGCCCAACAAAGCGCAGCTATGCCAACTGTGTAAAAGATCTCCCCATTCGGGAAATATACATAACACCAAGATTAAGCCTGCCACAAGCTGTTCGGACACAAATCAGTGCCGACCATGCAAGCAATAACTCTCCAGGTCACCTTAGCTACAGGACAGGTAAAAAAGAGATGTTGGAAAGTTTCACGCTCCCCACAGAATGAACACTTCGGGTTCCCTTTCCACCCTCTTTTTTTCATCACATCTCGAGTAAGAATAGAATTCTGGAACAACTGCCACATAAAGATTTTGATCTTTAGAGGAATGCCAGCTTTCCACACCCACCCAAAATTGCACCCTGCGATGTTTCTTTCCAGGAAGGAATACACCGATTTAGTCGTAAAGACCTTTTTGGGACCCAGGGCCCATTTAATGACATCGGACTCATCAGAAATACAACTTTTCCTGGCGACGTCGACCATCTGCTGCCATTGTTCTTTAAGCTCATTGCTTAATCTCCTCCTAAAGAAGGATATAGGGTCTGCCTCCATACAGTTTTCATAGTGCACTTGGGAGAGAAGAAATTGTCCTTTAGATCCTCTTTTCTTTTCTTTCTTGACCCGGCAGATCCTCTTTCCTCCAAGTAAATGTGGCCAACCCCAGTGCGTGCCCTAGAGCGTATTGAGTCACTTTCGAACCATGCACCCATCATTCTTGATTCTAACTCTACTAGCTCTCCCACTGTTCACCGCCCATTCAAATTTGAATTGGGATGGTTACATCGGGATGACTTTGCAAATATAGTTAAGAATTTATGTGAGAGGCCTGCCATTGGCCGCACACCGATTCAAAGATCGAACTTCAAAATTCGAGCCATGAGGCGGTTCCTACTGGATGGGCGAAACACACAAGTGGTATATATAAAAAAAGAAAAGCAACGCCTTTCCACTATTATAGATGACCTCGACAAAATAGCAGAGACTCACCTTTTGTCTCAACAGAAGATTGATACGAAAAATCAATCCAATGAGCAGATTGCACGTCTATTGCAAGAAGAGGAAATCAAGTGGTATCGAAGATCTGGTGCCCAATTCATTTTGGAGGGAGACAATAATACACGATATTTCCAAATGGTCGCCAATGGGCGGCATAGGAAGAAGTGTATTTTTAGCCTCCAACGGGATGAGGGACAAATCGAGGGTCTGGCAGTGCTCAAGCGTTATATAACCAAATACTACAAGTGTCTGTTTGGGGCTCCAGAGGAAGGGAACTTCACTCTAGATGAGACCCGAATAGATGACATTCCACAAGTCACGGCAGAAGAGAATGATATCCTGACGACACCTTTCTCTGAAGAGGAGGTGCGAGCTGTGGTGTTCCAAATGGAACACAACAAAGCTCCAGGCCCTGATGGTTTCCCTGCAGAGTTCTATCAGAACTTCTGGGATGTCATCAAGACTAACATAATGGAGTTGTTCAATTTTTTTCACGCCGGCCAACTAGACCTATCCAGGCTTTATTTTGGCGAGATTGTTTTGTTGCCAAAGACTAAGGAGGCCGAATGGATTCAACAGTTCAGACCTATCTGCCTCCTTAATGTCAGCTTCAAAATTTTCAGCAAAGTGGCGACTAATAGGCTGAACGTGGTTGCCGATCATGTTGTTCAACCATCCCAAACGGCTTTCATACAATGACGAAATATACTCGATGGAGTAGTAATCCTACACGAGACCGTTCACGAGATGCACCGGAAGAACATGAGTGGAGTAGTATTTAAAATCGACATTGAAAAGGCATACGACAAAGTCAAATGGTCATTTCTCCAACAGACCCTAAAAATGAAAGGTTTCTCCAATAAATTGTTGGAAATATGCCTTAGAGGCAATAATAAAATGGTTATTATTGTATTTCCTTGTTCATGATAATTGTCTATTGTTCATGCTATAATTGTATTAACTGGAAACCGTAATACATGTGTGAATACATAGACCACAACATGTCCCTAGTGAGCCTCTAGTTGACTAGCTCGTTGATCAATAGATGGTTATGGTTTCCTGACCATGGACATTGGATGTCATTGATAACGGGATCACATCATTAGGAGAATGATGTGATGGACAAGATCCAATCCTAAGCATAGCACAAGATCGTGTAGTTTGTTTGCTAAGAGCTTTTCTAATGTCAAGTATCATTTCCTTAGACCATGAGATTGTGCAACTCCCGGATATCGTAGGAATGCTTTGGGTGTACCAAACGTCACAACGTAACTGGGTGACTATAAAGGTGCACTACAGGTATCTCCGAAAGTGTCTGTTGGGTTGGCACGAATTGAGACTGGGATTTGTCACTCCGTATGACGGAGAGGTATCTCTGGGCCCACTCGGTAATGCATCATCATAATGAGCTCAATGTGACTAAGTAGTTGGTCACGGGATCATGCATTACGGAATGAGTAAAGTGACTTGCTGGTAACGAGATTGAACGAGGTATTGGGATACCGACGATCGAATCTCGGGCAAGTAACATACCGATTGACAAAGGGAATTGTATACGGGATTGATTGAATCCCCGACATCGTGGTTCATCCAATAAGATCATCGTGGAACATGTGGGAGTCAACATGGGTATCCAGATCCCGCTGTTGGTTATTGGCCGGAGAACTGTCTCGGTCATGTCTGCATGGTTCCCGAACCCGTAGGGTCTACACACTTAAGGTTCGGTGATGCTAGAGTTGTTATGGGAAATAGTATGTGGTTACCGAAGGTTGTTCGGAGTCCCGGATGAGATCTCGGACGTGACGAGGAACTCCGGAATGGTCCGAAGGTGAAGATTGATATATTGGACGAAGGGTAATGGAGTCCGGAATTGTTCTGGGAGTACCGGGTGACGACCAGCGTGACAGAAAGGTGTTTCGGAGGCCCCGACAAGCGTTGGGGGGCTTATGGGCCAAGGGAAGGGGGCACACCAGCCCACTAAGGGGCTGTGCTCCCCTCCCAACCCGTCTCACATAACCTGGAGAGGTGGGGGCGCCTCCCCTAGGGAAGCCGCCCCTCCTAGCTTGGGGGGCAAGTTTCCTAGGGGTGGGGGCGCCCAAAACCATCTAGGGTTTCCCCTGTTGCCGCCACCCATCCCCTAGGGAACCCTAGGGCGCCTCCTCCACCCCACTTCCCCCTATATATAGTGAGGGAGAGAGAGGGCACCCGCACCCTTCCCCTGGCGCAGCCCTCTGCCTCCTCCAACACCTCCTCCTCCCCCGTAGTGCTTGGCGAAGCCCTGCTGGAGAACCACGAGCT